CGCCTCCTCATGCAAGCCAGGGTGCTGTTGGCCCTGTTGGCCACCTGGGCACCCTGCTGGCTCGTGTTGAGTTGGCCGTTGACCAACACCCCTGGAGCGCTGCGTGGGGTTGTTGTGACCCCAGTGCAGGACCCAGCCCTTGGCCTTGTTGACCCTCACCCCATTGGCCTGGGCCCATAGATCCAGCCTGGCCAGGTCTCTCTGCAGAGACCCCCTACACTCTAGCAGATCCACACCCCCACCCAACTTGGTGTCATCTGTAACCGGCCGAGGGTGCCCTCGATGCCCTCGTCCAGGTCATTGATAAAGACGTTAAACAAGACCGGCTCTAGAACTGAGCCCTGGGGGCCACCGCTCGTGCCCGGCCACCAACAGGATCCAACTCCGTTGACCACAACTCTCTGGGCTCGGCCATCCAGACGGTTTTTCACCCAGTGAAGAGTGCGCCCATCTAAGCCATGAGCCACCAGCTTCTCCAGAACGCTGTGGGAGCCAGTGCTGAAGGCTTTGCATGGCCCCGGGGCTTGCCAAGAGGACAAACCCTTTGCTGCCGAGCTCATTTTTCAGGATGTTTGTGCTCAATTTGGTGAAGTAGAAACTTTTTTTTCCCACCGGGCAACCCCTGAGGACTTAATCCAGTGGCAGTTTTTGGGCATCACCCTCAGGACGAAGCCTTACCGGTCTCCGGCTTTGAATACTCCAAGCAAAGAACTTCGGAATCGTGAGCTTCCACTTTAGCCACCTCCTGCATGAACTGCAGCTCGTGTATCCTAGGAGGGGAGCGCACCATCGTCTCAGCCCACCCCCCCCAACGACTTGGGTGGAAACACCTTCGGCACACGGTGAAGGGGATGCCTCCCCCGCCTGCACCCAACCGTCACCGTTCTTTTTCAGCCGAGGGTGGCCTCACTTGCCTGAGGGTTCCTCCTCTGTCCCCTGATGCCAAATGCTCCCCGTCGGGGCTGACCTGCATCACCCGCACCCCGGATTTGACGTCGAGGTGACTCACGGTCTCGCTTCGGTCAGGGGCAATGGAGGAGTCCTGG